CAAAATAATTACTAATAATTGACAATTTTAGTTACTATATGTTAAGAATTGGTATAACCAATATAATAATGATAATAATGATGTAGAGATGGTTGACCGTTGATATAATATGAGAAGGAGTTAGTCGAGGGTGTGGTCAAATAAATAAAAAAATTAAAATATCTAAATTATTTTAATTTTTGCCGACGTTTCGACCCACTTTGCAGGTCGTCTTCAGGGCGTAGGATGTGGCACTGCGGGAGGCAGTTGAAACACTGGCCAAAATTGCAGACATTTTTTTTTATGGCCAGTGTTTCAACTGTCTCAAAATTGTTTGTAACTGTATTTAAATATTCAAAACCAATTACCAAATAGAGTAGGGTTCCGTGTTACATATATATGCTGATCGCTCATCGGCAGTTATTTGGTATTTGTATTTGTATTTTGTTTGCAATATAATCAATCATATTGCAAATTTTATCAGTTTTAATTTTTTTTAAAACATCTTTATCGATGCGATGGATAGTTTTAAAGACATAAACGAAAAACCGAAAAAAGTGGCCTTCTAGACTAGTGTTGACCAAAGGCGAGTCCAAGATGAGTATTGGTCTTATTGGCGTATATATTGGCGTATTCCGTATTTCTCGTGGTCTTAGTCTTGCGCAAGAGTCTCGCAACAGTCTTGCAGTTACCTATTAGCTTATTGAAATATTGCAGTCATTTTTTAGATAGGAGCGAATGAAAAATTAGAAGAGTTAAATGCAAAAGTATATTGGTTATCCCTTCGAGTTATCTCGGGATAACTCGAAGGGATAGAAAAACAAACAGATGGATCAGAGCTAAGACTGACCTTCCAGATATTGTGGAAAAAGTGCTTGAGTGGACCTGGAACGGACATGTAATCAGGAGGAATGAATTAACATGGACCAGGCAGTTTATGGATTGGTATCCAAGAGAGCACGTGAGGAAGAGAGGACGCCCGCCGACAGACTGGGACAAGGAGATGAAGAAGACCTGCGGGGGAGCAGTCTGGAAGAGAGTAGCATTAGAAAGAGAGTAGCATTAGAGAGGAAAGAGTGGAAAAGGATGGGACAGGTTCAGTACCTAGTGTGGTTACAAGAAAGTTAAGAAAAAAAAAAAAAAAAAAAATCGAACTCAAAACCTCAACTAAGTCGATTTTGTACATACCAATACTCGTCTTGGACTAGCATTTGGTAAACACTAGTCTAGAAGGCCACTTTTTTTCGGTTTTTCGTTTATGTCCGTTCCAGGTCCACTCAAGCACTTTTTCCACAATATCTGGAAGGTCAGTCTTAGCTCTGATCCATCTGTTTGTTTTTCTATCCCTTCGAGTTATCCCGAGATAACTCGAAGGGATAACCAATATACTTTTGCATTTAACTCTTCTAATTTTTCATTCGCTCCTATCTAAAAAATGACTGCAATATTTCAATAAGCTAATAGGTAACTGCAAGACTGTTGCGAGACTCTTGCGCAAGACTAAGACCACGAGAAATACGGAATACGCCAATATATACGCCAATAAGACCAATACTCATCTTGGACTCGCCTTTGGTCAACACTAGTCTAGAAGGCCACTTTTTTCGGTTTTTCGTTTATGTCTTTAAAACTATCCATCGCATCGATAAAGATGTTTTAAAAAAAATTAAAACTGATAAAATTTTGAATATGATTGATTATATTGCAAACAAAATACAAATACAAATACCAAATAACTGCCGATGAGCGATCAGCATATATATATGTAACACAGGGAACCCTACTCTATTTGGTAATTGGTTTTGAATATTTAAATACAGTTACAAACAATTTATTTAAGATTTGACTTTAAATGAAAATTACAAAAAAAATATATTTTATTTTGCATTTTAAGATAATTTATTTGAAATACTTCTCAGGTCTGTTACAAACACACTTGCATATTGGTTTGCAAACAAAATATATCCATATACCCGTATATATACCTATGTTTATATACATCCAAAGAATATGCCTATTAATAATATATATATTGATTAATTTACTAACATATTAATTAAATTGTACCTTTTTCCGCTATTTCGCTTAGTGTTCGAGTTATCCATCCATAACTACAGCTAATTGGGGGAAAAAAAACTTTACTAACTTTTTTAAAAATTAACTACCCAACTCTTGTTTGTCTAGGTTGTACGATTAAGTCATGCAAAACAAAGTTTTTAATAATTAAATTTTTTTAAAAATATATATTGCTTAACTAGTTTATTTTCAACGGTTAAAAAGTTTTATCAATTATACCTTTATATGTTTATTGCAAGAATTTGCAGACATTTTTTTTATTTACGTTATTATGTTGTAATATTGCTTTATTTTTTTTATATTGTAAAAATTATTTTCTTATGAAATTCTCAGAATTGACGTATAAAGTTATAATTAATCGTAGATTTTCAATGATTTCAGATAAACTAGTATAATAGATATATTCTTGAAGAAAATTTAAATATTAATCGACTTAATCGTAGAACGAAGCATTCTAGAGTTAGCTAGTAAAATACAGTAAAATATTTGAGAAAAAATATTTATTTTCCAAATGAGCGATAGTTTTGGACGGATATCTCGAAAACTAAGCTAGGTAGCAAAAAAAGGTTCATAATCAATATTGCAGATATTGCAAATTTTATTAGCTTTCATTTTGTTTAGAACGTCTTGGACGAAGCGATGGGTAGTTTTCCTGATAAAAGCGAAAACTCAAAAAAAGTTAACTTCTTGGCCTGCCTGTCTCACTACCTAGGAGTAGAGACTTATAGTATGTTTACCTCCTTACAAGTCCAAACAATGTCTTAAAATCAAAAATTAAATCCCCATTATGTCCTTCTATAATCATTCATTGACTGGACTATTTATGAATATACGAACATTCGTTCACGAATCCGCAGTTAAACGAATCGCTTTATAACTATACACAATGTATTTTCCAGCTGATTATCATTGCTAATGAATAAAACAAATGGAACCTAAAGTTCCTGTTTGATAAAATAGTTTCACTTCCCGGTTGTGGCCGAGTTCAATGAGAGCGCGATACTATTGTCTTAGGTCACAATCGATTGCGCAATTTGCATATATGTAGTCTTTTTAGTATGCAAAGTGTTCTGTAATTACTGCAATGTTCTTTAGATCGATAAAATAATCGATAGGTGTTATATATGATCGATCTACAGAAAGTCGTCGGTGTTTGAAAATATCGATTAATATTTACACTGAGCTTCTTCTCTAGTTTAGATTCATCTCTCTGTTAAAGTGGAAATAGGAAAAACCCTTATCAGCTCCAATAACCTCGGGACCTTATCACCGTTAAGAATGCGATGGGTTGGGCCATCGCGTGACGTCATATAATGTCTCGTCTATCTTTAGTACTTGACTGATTTAGATAATTGCTACCTCGGTGGATGTCGATACTATCGATACCTAGTCGTTAGCAGCTATCTCCGAGGAATCATTAACTAATGGCTTTCCCTATTTATGTCTACAAAACATATTTTGGAATCTGTGCCATTATAATTTTCTATTTTTATAATTATATACATTTTTTAATGCATTATTGTTTTTTTCTTAACTGATATCAGTCAACTATATCAGTACAGATGATTTGTATTGGTTGCACTTATGATGGCTATTGGTTTCTTTTTTTATCTAAAGTTCTGTTGTCTTGTTATAAGTGGGAGTATCAAGATGTATTTTGCCGGATTGAAATGAAATAAATATTGGTTATTTTCTTGAGAATTATAACCTCGGCGCACCCGGTTCTCTCACCTGACTTTAACTAGGAAGTGAACATGTCACAATAGAGGTTATATTACTTTTTAAACAGAATATTGTGTATTAAACATGTTTTTATTGTTGTCGTTTTTTTTTTTTTTTTTTTTTTTTTGGAAATTTTAAAGAAAATTATAATTCTAGTCTATATTCATATTTTCTTATGTACTCTTTTTTTTTCTTTTTTTTTTTCTCTTTAGCTATTTATTCGCACCTACCATGGTGTTGTCAATCAGCAGATGTGTTGTGATGATGAGGATTGGCGTTATAGGCATGAGGAAGGATAGTACCCAGCAGTACCTCTTCCTGGTCATTATTTATTTCTTTGATTTAGTCGAGGAGATCTCTCATCCAGCTCCTTTTTAGTCTCCTCCTGATGGGCATGTCAGTAGTAGCAATGTCGTTTATAAGTCTGTTTGTGTGTCCATGTAGTTTAAGATGAAAACGAGAGTAGAGAGTACGTATGTGTTGGTCTATAGTTGGCTGTCGTAAGTCGTTATGTAAAGTTTTGTTGATGACGTACCAGAGAGCTCCTGTTATAAGTCGTAAAATTTTGGATTGAAATGACTGTAGTTTTTGTAAGTGCTTCTTTTTTGCCGAACCGTAAATCTGAGAGGCGTATGCCCAGATGGGTTTGAGTAGGTAAGTTTATGTATTTAATTTTAGTCGATTTTTCAATTTCAATTTAGAAAAAAAGTGAGTACAGTATTTTCAGTCGCTTGTTTAAGGTCTGTCGTTTCATTTTGACGTATTAGTCCCAGGTAACGTACTGTGTTTGTCTGAGGAATTTGGTTCTCTCCTATATAAACTGGTGGTCACGTTTCTCGTCGAAGTGTAAATGTTATACGCTGTGACTTGTCATGATTTAATTTTATTTTTCAAAGTGAGTACCAATTTTGTAAAGTCAGTAAATGATTTTGTAAACTTATTGAGGCTAGTCTGGGGTTATGGTGTTTTGTTAAAATTGTTGTATCATCAGCGTAGGTGGAGGTGAATGTTTCGGAGTTGATAGGTATGCCATGCGTATATATAATGTAGAGTAAAGGAGCCAGTATTGATCCTTGAGGTACTCCTGCTAACACTGGTCGAATTTTGGAATATTGTGGTACTCCTTAAAATTAGAAAATATATTTTTATTAATTATTAATTTTTAGGTTTTTTTTTGGTCGTATAAATACCTTTGAGCTTGAGGAGTAAATAAAGTGTCTTGGTTATATTAGCATATTATACGCAACTCGATTGGAATGCCACTTAAGGGATTTCCTAGCGGTGACTTCACTGACCCGAAGCTGATGTGTTTGATAATCAGTTGGGCCCTCGTTGATTGGCCAAATGGCCTGTTGACACTAGGCGAATTTTCGTAACAGTTTTATATTTACAAATTCAAGACTCTTTGGGGAAAGCTCTGTGAGTAAGGTACGCTTTACTCCTAACTTCAAGAGCTTCGAGCCCTGCTGTGGAGGGTAATTATTTATTCTGTTTTATCAGTTGCGTTGGGGCTTGCAAGGTTTTTTAAATTTAGTACTGTTAATTAATTAAGGAGAAAACCTGACGGTTGAGCATAATCACGGTGGGATCATCTCTGCTCTATTTTCCACCGAGAAACATTACATACATGTTAAGAGCTGAACCCAAGATTTAGTGTTACAAGTTTTTTTTTCTTCTGTATTTTGTGCTTATTTGTCCTATAAAAACCATTTACACATATTTTATTTTTATTATTTATTATCCTCAGAACTCGCCTATATCGGAAAACTTTTTTTATTTTTTCAGGATGCGAACTCGTGATTAATTTATATCATTAGATTGATATATCAGGTTGCTGGGCAACGGCGGTGCTGTGCACACGCGTTAGCCCATTAGGCCACCCCGCCCACAAAAGATCCTATATCGGAAAACTATATATCAATACCTCCTTACCGAACTACTGCGTTTGACAAATCCTTTATAATTGAAGCAGTCTCCTTCTGGAATACTATTCTTTCCGTTATCCGACATACACAATCAGTTTTCTCATATAAATCTCTCGTTTTAAAAGCATATAATCCTTTGCCAACCCGATTGATCACAAAATGTAGATAAGAGTACTTTTTAAGTTCTCCCAGAAATGATTTTGTTTACTTATGTTATTTTATTTTCCCATGCTTGTTTTACATACATCTGTATGTTTTTAATGGTTTTTTTTTTTACATTCCTACCTATACTAGGTAAGGAAAGTATTGCGGTCGGGTCAAATTTCTTTGAGTTCACCCCTGAGTCCGAAAAGCACATTGGACTGTGTGGCTGTGACTGAAGACATTTTCGATCCCTGCGGAACTGAAGATTAAAATATGTTTCGGAGAATTATTTACTAAAAAAATATTTATGTAGAGTGTCATTACATTCCTTGCAAATTTTTTTTTTTTTTTAGAATAAATTTGTTATTGAAGGAAGTTAGCCGACTATTCTGCATATCATGGGTACTTTACGAATATACAACTCAGTTATTCTTTATTGACTTTTTAAATTGTTTTGCTTAAAAATATGTTACCTGAGACTATTTTTGTCTTTAATCAGTTGAAGAATGTGAGGATGCATTCCTTTACATTGCTAGAGATAGCTCAAGGTCCTTTTAAGGTGAAATCTGCCGAGCTCCTTAAGGAGGAAGGATACTGTGAGAGGTGGACAGGAGTTTCCTCCTTGCTTAGGTAACTCTCTTCTAATACGATCCTCTGGTAGTTCTTGTCCTGCATGCCTCCGCATTCCTTGTATAAGAGTCTCGTTGTTAAGGTAGAGGATCAAGATTAGATAGACCCTTCTGTATATGTGACATTGTCATGGGTAGACTCCTTGTAGCACTGTCATGGTATAGAAGATCCTCTGATCTTATTTCTATACTTTGACTATAGGAATTTTGGAGAATCTGTCTGAGATATTGTGTGATCGAGATGTTATCGATAATTTTGCAAAAGTTGTCATAAGCCCTTACATTTAATATATTTAATCAATCTCAACCGTAGAAGATCGAGTTTTAGCAGTCAATTTTTAATTGTTTTATTTTATTAAATATTAATCCAATCTGTCACATTGAGAAGGAAATCAGTATTAGGGCTACAGTAACCAATCACACAATATGTACAAATACAAGGGGAATACGTATAAATAACTAAAATAGAGGAAAATAGAAATAAAGTAAATACAATAAGAAAATTAATATACATGTTTACTGAGAAAAAAATAGACGTAAGCTGAATGAAATCAACATAAATAAAACAGATTCACACCTATATATAATATTTACATTGGCCCAAGATATTCTGAATCTTTGCTCCCTTCCCCTCCCCTCCCGCAAGTGTAGAAGCCAAAGCAGGACTCCAGGAGATCCCAGTGCTTTTCTCGCAGCCGCTATTCGGTATTGGAAGCCAGTGGAGACCGATGGAGGACACTAGAGCGACAGGCGCTCAGTACTTGACTGAAGAATCAGGCCATTGCCAGAACTTCAATTTATGGTGTGGTGCGCGCATCTATGACTGGTTCAAAATTTGGAAAATCCTACTAAATCAAGACAAATCACAGCACATCACATTTGCGCTTCGACATGAAGCATGCCCTCCAGTTTTCCTTGACAATACACAGATTCCACAGACAGACACTGTTCACTACCTTGGTCTGACATTCGACAGAAAAATGACGTGGGGCCCACATATAATCAAAAAACGAAAAACGTTAAATCAAAGATTAAGAATTCTGAGTTCATTTCTTTCAAAAAATTCAAAACTAAAACTTAGACAGAAATTGAACACGTACAATTACTTACTAAAACCTATTTGGACTTACGCATCACAGATATTTGGAACTGCTAAAAAGACTCACTTAAACAAACTTCAAATCTTTCAAGCAAAAACATTCAGAACAATTACAAAAGCACCTTGGTACGTTAGCAACATAACCTTACATACTGACCTCCATATACCGGCTGTTAGCGAACACGTACTTACTCATTACAAACGATTCCATGACAACTTACAAGGACATCCTAATACACTTATAAATGACATGGCCACTACGAATATGCCAGGTAACGTCTGTAGGAGACTGAAGAGGAGGTGGATGAGAGACCTCCTCGCCTAATGTAGATATCATGCCGAGTGAGGTGCCGCTGGGCACTGATCCTCGTAATGCCTTTCATGACATTATATTTAGCAGCAATCGATTTCACATTCACTGGTTGTCATTGGCATTATGACAGGTGTGAATAAAACATTAAAGCTAAAAAAAAAAAATATATATATATAAATAAATAAAAAATCTTCTATTTATGTTATCAGGAAGGTTATGTTACTTTATATGTATAATTGTTTGGAAATGATTAACCATTGCGTAATGATTTGCAGAGTTTTTAAATGTATATAGGATTTAGAGATTTGTTTTTAATTTTATTTTGGATCTACAAATGTCTAATAATCTTCATTACACTCATGAAAGTACCAGGAAAATACACATCCATTTTTGAAAGCCCTAAACGAACCGAAAGCAAATAATGAACAAGAACACTCTTCTTTTTCTATCAGGAAACGTCCACAGTGAGACTAAATGGCAAAAACGTGCGAAATACATTTTCAACTTTAACATAGAAAAGAGAAACTGAACATCTTTCATATCGGATCGGATCTTTCTCAACTCGGTGGCTCCAACTTACGTCACTACTATCGTGTGAGTTACCTCTTTAGTTAGGTTTTTGTTTTTGTTTTTTTGCTGTCGAAATGAGATGCGCAATTACAGTTTTGTATGTGAGCTTATGTTCCTCAATTCTAACTATGTCGAATTGAATGGTTGAACATTTTTTATAACTGAAATTCTCGAATTTTTCAAATAATGTCTAACTAGCAACATTTTTAAGAACCCTTAAATACAGAAATATATTGAGATGTATATTAAAAACGCCACCAATCATTATTCAAACAATGATTTATCAATCCAGCATACGTACTGTAAACATTTTTTTAAAGTTTTTTCTAATTATGATAAAAACTCTAGCTATTTCGAAACAAGATACCGAATGGTTCCGATATCCGGATGAAAAACCGTGGACATTTATGAACCGTGCTTACATTTATCAGCTATATATATGTATATATATGTAATAATAATAATAATAATTAAAAAAGAAAATATATTTTAATTGTTTTAGTTTGTTATTGTTGTTTTCAGTAATTAGCTTAAACAACAGAACAAAACAAATAAGGCCCATTGAAAAAAAAAAATGTTTTTTTTCCTTGGTTGGTTGTAAAGGTTCATTAATAAAACAGTTAAGCAAGAACAGATTCATATTGAGAATTTTTATTATTTAATGATCTCTCTATTATATAAAAAAGTTTTTAGTATATGTCATATTTTATTTTTAGTATTAGGAGCGTAGGAGTTTACAGGAACTCTCCTATTAGCTCTATAGTTAGCACTAATACTCTCATAATACAAGATATAGATTTTAGAGTAAATATGTTTTTAAAGAAAACAGGGAAAATGAAGCACAATACAACGAACAATGAAAATATTAGAAATAAAAGGCTTCTGGACTACAGATCTTCACTTAATTTACGAAACAAGCGACTAATCTACAACACCTTACTGAGACCAATATGGACATATGGAGCAGAACTTAGGGATTCAGCAAAACAAACACACATAAACAAAATACAAACAGCATAATAAAATTTTTTTAGAAAAATTGTTAACGCAACTTGGTTATATTTCGAATAATACTGTACATAACGAATTGAACACCCCAACAGTAAAATCCTGCATCCACGACAAATACACTAGATTTCATTCTTCAACCCAAAATCACTCCAATCCTCTGGTTCTTTCTATCTCCTGCTCCCTGTTACCTGAACAACGCAGATTAAGAAGAAAATGGCCAAGAGACCTACTATATCGATAAAAACAAAATCAAGCAAATACACCAAGACAGTATAAATACAACAAATTTGCTAGATGCGCAGCCGCGCAGGTGCAAGTTGCATAAAATATAAATAAAATAAAAAGGCTTAAATTATTGTTGGGATTATATGAAGCTGGACAAGTTGAATATATATTATTTTGATATAAATCGGTAAAAAATCGCGATGTATAATATAGATTTTTAAAGAACTTAAAAATTTGTCCGAACTGGGTTTCATTTGTTTTATTTTATGTTGGTAAAAAAATAATACTATTTGAACTATAGAATACTAGAAATTCCATCTCCTTTTCAGACGCCTCAGAGGGTTATCAGGAACTGAAGAGGAAGCAAGGTTAGAAACGAGAGGGTTGGGATGATTCTGAAGTTAATTATGGATTGATAGTTATCTGGATTGGGCCAGATCTGAAACATAAGAAATATTAAGGTCATTATGGATGGTTTTATTTGTAACAAAGTAGGGAGCATTGAGGATTTTACGAAGGATTTAGGATTGTAAGGATTGGATAAGAGTGGAATTCGATGTTTTAGTGGAGCCCCATAGTCCAAATAGGCCTTATTATAGTCATATATATGAGTTTTTTGTAATTAATTGAAAGTTTAGATCATTTGTCTAGTAAGTGCTGAAGTAATCGGAATCGTCGATCTTGGAATCGGATTTTGTCGTTTCAGTCTGATCTGACAGAATACATTTAAATTAAATTTATACAATTTGGCCAACGAGTATTACAATTAAATGAACAGTTGTATAATTTGTAAAATGGGGGTTGTTCCGCCGTCAGGCGGAAAGAGGCTATCCTCCTAGTTATCCTATAAAATTACAATCAATATTCCGATGACTCCTAAACGACCTTGCCGAAGAACTCCGACTAGACGTACCCGCGATGACGACCCTGGCCACTTACACAGGACAAACAGAAGAACCGCTACGAGATCCTGGAGGGGCAGGCGATGGTGTGGTGGGGCGTTGCAGTTCCTCAGTGATGGCCGAGGTAGCCTACAGGTACGTGTCCATCGTGAGGGTGTCCGGGCCCAGTCCTGACCCGGGGATCTGCCTCGACGGAGAAGAGGAGTCGGAGGATGAGTCCCAGGTCTTGTCTTAGCTTACTTACTTCACTTCTAGGATACTTAGCGCTTGTGTAATTAAGTACTTCTTAAGGAGTCTGTTAATGTGTCTTCTGTAGAAAGCTTTCGATATTAATTTGAACTTCTTTTTTTAATGCTATTTTTATTTTTACTTAACTATTTACGAAATAAAATAAAAATAAGAAAAAGTGTTTAATCGTGAAAAATTTCAAATCTCAAATAGACATTTTAGGTATATGTGTGTGTAAACAGCCTCGCTTGAAAAATACTTACAAAGCTCAAATTATGTATCTAAGCTATGTAAATGAAAATGTCATTTTATCGATTTAAAAAAAATATATTTAGTATATTTTTAAAAATTGATATTAGGGGATTTAATCGGTAGTATCTTTCTCATATTGAGAATCAGGTGTTTTATTGTTGTTAATAAAAGTAATATTAATACGTAGATATTACAGAGTAAAAAACTGTATTTACAATTAGTGGTGCCTTAGTATTAGTGTTACCCAAAATCGATCTTGGTCTTGTATTTTGCATGACCAAGACCAAGGTCGCCTAACTGTTGCAAGACCAAGACCAGGATCGGTAAAAAAAAATTGATTTTTTAAATAAAAATTAAGACTAATTAAAATAGTTACTAATACTTGACAATCTTATGTTAATAATTGGTATAACCAATATATTTTTGCATTTAACTCCTCTAATTTTTCATTCGGGT